GAGAGAGAGAGAGAGAGAGAGAGAGAGAGAGAGAGAGAGAGCAAGTGGATGGGGCAGAATCAATACAAGATGTTTCTTCTCCTCAGTGGTGTAAAAAATGACTGCACAGCTCAGACCTGTCGCTGCTGACAACCTTCAGTAACAAAGACAGACAGCGAAGGAGACGGACAGGGAGACGAATAAAACTACGAAGAGGAGATGTAAAGGAAGATCAATGAAGAAATTAGGGGAAAAAATGTCGGGATGAAGCAATAGAAGGGAGTTCAAGAAGGATGCTGTGAAACATCCCCCCACCTCCCCTAAAAAACAACCCACATTCATTGGTATTCCAGGGCAGTCTCCCATGCAGCACGGCACAATCAGTGCAGTTCGGGTGACATTTCGTGCTTTAAGAGCGCCCCCTGCAGCATCAGCTACAGCATGACCAGGCTGCAGGAATCTAGGTCATCCATTTAAAAACCCACCAGTTTCTCTCACAGGAAACCAAAAACTACAGCATGGAGGGAGCAGAAAACAGTAGTCACCTCTCCAGGGTTTTCTTTATCTGAACAAGGACGCAGCTTTTTTTAAACGGCCTGATTTGAAGTTCATTCAGATTTCAGCACCAGTAACTACCTGTTTCGAGAGCTCAGGATCAGTTCAGGGTCTTAAGTGTTGGAGGTTCGGTCTGATATCACACAAACATAAATCAAAGACGTATGGCTGAAAATGACTTGTATGTTTGTCAATAAATCTTTAACAGAGAAGCTCAAACAAAATGTTAAAGAGTTTTTTTGCAGAGAAAAGTATCTTCTGTAGGATAAATAATGAATGTATAGAGTAAAGAAGAAATACCGCCTTGGTTAATAAGTTTTCATAAGGGCTTTAATGAATCTGCAGTTTTACAAGAGCGTTACTCACATATTGTTATGTTTTCAAAATCTTATAGCGCTGTTCTTTTCTTTTTTTACTTGACAATATTGCACAAAAAAAACTCTGCAATAACTGCCCAGTAGCAAGCTTAGTTAAAAATTTATGAAAGGAAAAAAATGAGCTGCTCTACACGCCGCCAATTTTTKACAATTCAGCAATCCAATCAGATCTGAGCAGAATTTTCAGAGAGGGATTTAAAGGAACAGAAGCAAAAACTGCTACACCAACGTACAAATGTAAAAACGTATTGGCACTTAAACCATGTACGTTTTAAAACTGAACCTTTAATTAAACCTTTTGAGATGCTCCACAAATCACATGTTCAACTTCAAGCTTGATAAAGATTAATATGCTCGACTCATCATTGCAGGTAAGAAGTAATTTGATCTAAAATGAGCAAAATGACAAAATATTTCAGCATAATGGCACTGAAATGTGTGTCAAGATTAAAACTGTTTCAAGCTGTAAGGCTTTCATTTATGTGGGAGTTTTTMATTAAGTGCTTTTTACTAGTCTACTGTATTAGTTTGAACCAATGACAAACTGTTATTTATGTTGATTTAAATAAATCATATTATGTGTTTGTAAGGCAGAACATCCACATACATGAAGGCAATTGAAAAATGTACACAGATACATCCCAGTACAAATATTTTGTCCCCTGGGTGCAATTTGCAAAGGCAGTTCTCCTCCTTTGCTAATTTGTTCTTGGGAATTCTGTGGTCTAAAAGCAAAGACTAAAGTGGTCTAAAACACTAAACCAACAGGGAAACTACATTTTCAGTCAGAAAACTTGGCTTTGGGCCTCAACATTCAAGACAAACCATCAGTCCGTGTAATTCAAGAAACTGTCAATACAAAAAAACATAAACATCTCCAAAAGCAGAAGATGTGTAAGCAGCTATTCCCTCTTCTCTACAAAAACACAAAGCATAATAACAAAATCTTGATATTTTAAATAGTAATTGCCATCATGATTATGAGCTCACTAAGACAGACATATTTTCAAACAAAAGTAAATCAAATAAACAGCTTGTGAAGGCATACTTTATTCCCAGCCAGTGCCAGGACATAAGTGTGTTTTCGACTTTATTTCCTCACCTTTGACCTTGACGTACAGGAACTCTGGGTTGACACAGAGGGCCAAGTTGCTCGGCAGTGTCCAGGGCGTGGTCGTCCAAGCGATGAAAGAAACACTCTCATCCTCGAGCAGAGGGAAACTGACAATCACAGAGGGATCCTGGACATCCTTTAGACAAAAGGAAACAGAATATTATTAGTACGTAATTTTTTTCCACTAGTAAAAGGTGGATTATGTTTAATAGCACACTGAATGTATTCATTCATGATTTATTATTTGGCTATTCTCACACAAATTTTAGCCAAATAATTTCATATCATTCAAAAAARAATACACAGGTGCCCTAAAATACAGGAAGCCTGCGTACACCCTCCAAGCCAGGGGTCTCCAACCAGTAGCTCGTGAGCTCATTTAAAGCAGCTCTTCGGTGCTTATGAAAAATTAGGGGTAAAAATTTGAGTATTTGATTTGTTACAGGCCAAACAAACTTTCATTTATATCCTATCAATCCATAGACGTCCCTCTCGCTCCGGTATACGTCACTGCCGGGGTTTCTTCCTGCTGGATTCTACAATGCAGAGGAAAAAAAAGTCCGAGACCCCTCACCCGACGTCATCTGTYCTGGTTAAAGCTCCGCAGCTTTTAATCAGACATATTCCTCTGTGAATGTCTGTTTTATCTTTATCAATGAGTTTCTGGCCGTTTGACTATCTTTATAAATGTCTGCTTCTGGGTAGACTACAACAATCGGCTTATGGAAGCGAGTCACCCCCCCACCCCTTTCTTTTATTGATGCGAGTGGTTGAAGCAAAATGCAGCGTCTGCGCCGAGACAAGAACGTCTTCTAATCAAAGTTCAGAACAAGACTGACAGATGAACATTTAAATGACTCAGTAAGAGTGAACCTACGAAGATAAACTTCATCATTTATCTCTTTTGCTGACTCCATGCAGCTTCAACTCACTAAGTAAAAATGAAAAAGCACTGAGAAAAAAACAGGAAACTACACAATAGAATAGAGTGCTGTGCAAAAACAAGATGACAAGTAAAGATGAAATATTCTGTGTATTGTTTTGAATGATTTAACTTTAATGTCTCAACTTTGACAGTTCTTACTGACTGTGAACTAAATTTCCTTTTGTGAGAAAAATACAATACGTTAGTAGTGTGAAATACACTATACGAGTGGATAAACACAAAAAGCACATTCATGTAAATTCAARGTTCTTTATGATGGTTTCTTGTGAATTGAAGACAATGTTCTTTTGTGTATGTTCAAGCAAAACAAGCTTATTCCATTGGTTTGGGTTTAAGTTTAAAATTAAATGTTGTAAAAAGTAGCTCTTGGCGTATTTCATTTTGTAAAAGTAGCTCAAAAAAGCTTGGAGACCCCAGCTCTAAATATACTATACTAAAGTTTATATAGTATGAATTACTAAACAGAGAGGAGTCAGTACACAAAAGTTTTAAAKTATTCATGCTGCGGTTTAAAAAAGAGGAGATTTAATTATGCAATAAAAAGTTTGTTGCTATTTCTAGATACCCGAAGTATTATATTAACATATTATCACTCAATTCTAATTCATAAATCGCATTTCAGACCTGGAAGAATGTTGTGTTTGGGCCTACCTTGTAGTTCTGATTAGACTCGAAGTTGGAGAGGGGGGTGTTGCAGGCAGTGGAAAAAGGCATGACTTTAAATCCACGATACACAAAACCCTTGTCATAGAGCTGTCTGAACACCCACCTAAGAAATATAAACAAAAAAAGTAAATAAAGGAAAGACAAGTTCAAATAATATCTAAACCAGCACAACTTCTGGTTATTCTGATATTTATCAATAATATTTGCAAAATTTCATAATTCTGATTATATTTGTTCTTTTTCGTGTTTAACAACAGTAACTGAACATAATGCAATGATATAAATATTCTGTTCTGTTCTATTTTGTAGTTCTACTGCATGAAAATTCAAATTAACAAATATTAGGAAAACTGCAAATTAATTTCTATATTCTTGGAAGTTTATTCATCATAAATATTTAGTGATAAATTAACCAAAACTTTATTGTTCAACAAACAAAAAATTCATCTTCAACGCACCACAATGACACTTTATACTTTTGGTCACTAGATGGCGCCAGAAACTTTATACTTTTGGTCACTAGATGGCGCCAGAACCCCCTTTTTCAAAACAAGCTTCAGCATTTCAAAACAATTTAATTTGTCCATCACTACTTTAAGCTAACAATCAGTTTTAAAAATATGCAATTAAACAAAAATTAATTTATGCAAGAATCTGTGACATACGCACCAGACTGTTTCCATGAACCATGGGTAAAGAGTCTTATAGTCATTCTTGAAGTCAATCCAGCGGCCCATTCTTGTCACTGAAATCTGCATACAAAAATAATAATAAATAAACAAATAAAATGTTAATTTAGAAAGTTTTTTGCAGTAGGATTATTTATAAACTCAGCAGAACTCAGAAAAATATGATTTCTTTGTGCTTACCTCCCATTCATTGGAATATCTCATGACAATATTTCGACACTGCTTGTTGTACTCAGCGATGCCCATCTTGGCCACATCGTCGGGCCCTTTGATCCCCAAAGTTTTATCAATCTCATACTCCTACAGACAGACACAGGGAATAAAACAAAGTACACACCAGACATTAATTAAACCTTAAAACTAACTCACACTAACAAATCTGAAACTTTACATTTGAGAGACAAAAACCTATTTTTACCACAGGTAGGCCATGGCAATCCCAGCCAAAGCGCCGGTCCACATGAAAGCCACTCTGGTGGGCAAAGCGAGTAACAATATCCTTGATGGTGCCAGCTAAGATGTGACCGTAGTGGGGTAAACCCGTGGCAAAAGGTGGGCCATCATAGAAGTTGTACCTGGTTAGGTGATGGCAGTAAACACGATTTACTGTTATTTTAAACATTTTTTAAGGTAAATAGAAATGTTTTCGTAAAAGTTTTAATGAGACATGAAACCATCAACTGTTGATTCTGCAGACAGTTTTGTTTTTCTGAACCAGCAATGTTCTAGGCAAGCTCCATCTCTACCTCAATCAGCTGCAACTTCACGATAAAAAAATAGCCTCATTGTTTTGACTCAAAGACATTAAAACCGACCAAACTAAACAACACACTGTACGCTTCATTCCTAATTATAAAATCTGAACACATTGCTAAATATAAATTTCTTAAATGTAACTGCTCACTCCCGCAGCATCTACATCACCGCTGAACTTCACTCAACTTTCACGTCTTTTTATCTTCTTCTTCCTGTAGATTTTTTGGCACTTGGTAAATAACTTTATGCCTCAGTCTGAAAGGAAGTCTGGGACTTTACATTCAGTAGGGTGGAAGTGAGACTAGTGGGTGGATTGATGATTTTTTATTTTTTTTTTCATGAACATGTGCATCTTTTGCTGCCTCCCGCTGCAACGCTCCTAAAATATGATGAACATTGAAAAAGTGCCGTAAATTATTTATTATAACCTGGTTTTACTTGACCTATTGACACAAATTAAAAACTGGTGCATAGCTTTAAGTCTGTACTTTTGACACAAATCGACTCAAGGAGTCATATTAGTTGTTATCGGATAAATATCACAATTAATCATATTTATTATTTTTGCAAATATTGCCCAACCCAGCAGGTACTAAGGAAACTTTGACTTTTAATGTTTAACTTGTGGTTTTCATCAGACTATTTTCTTATGAAATGGACTGGCCAAAGRAAAAGTGCAACTGAAAGTATTTATATTGCTTGGCGTGTCAGAAAATAAAGTAAAAAAAACCTGTTAAACAAGAGCTTCAAGCCTTTTGTTGTAGTTATCCGTAAAAATTCAGCACAAAAGAAACGAAAGTAACTGTCCTCCAAATGCCTCTTAGATTTTTTTAATCAAACAAGAATGGTGAAAGTTTTTAATATTTCATGGAAACAGTCTTGTCCTGTTAATCAAGTCAACTAAAAATGTGTTTTAAATGTAATTTTAGTTACTTTGTCAGACAAAAAATTATATTCAACTTACTTTACTTTTATAAAAGTAAAAACCATCACCAAGGTGACCAAAAGGGAACTGCACCAGTTTACATATCATGTCAAGAATGTGCAAGTTATATATATATATATATATATATATATATACATACACTGTATAAACTTTTTAAGTTCTGTTTCAGTTTTTAGTCAAGCTTTAACTTATTGGACACAATGTATTTAGAAATCACTATGCTGAAATAAAGATTTTGATGTAGAGAGCAAGAATAGTAAAGTATTTCAAATAAAACATTTTAAAAACACAATCATCCACATACAGTCACATTTACCTGGTTCGGTTCTTAGACTGTCTGAGGCATTCCTGAAAGCAATCCTTTTCTTTCCAAAACTGCAAGATCTTCTCCTCCTCAGAAGGAAAGTTGATCGATTCAGGGACTGGCTCCACCATGRCGTCTGTCCAGGTCACACACAAAAAGTAAAACTGTGATTTACTGGATTTAGATTAGAAATTAGTACAAGTCATAAAAATAACATTATAATATAATTTGATGTAGTGGTTCTTATTAAATTAAATCTATCTATAAAACCAGCTGTGATTTGGCAAATATGTTATAAAATTATTTTTGTAGGACGATTAGCAGATTCATGTTCTCATTTCTGAAGTGTTTGACTTCCACCTCCAGCAGATCCTCTCGAGAGCTGCTGTCAAAATCCATCACGGCTAATCTAGTTTCTTAGCTATTTCCATTCTTATCTTTAAACTCTAACAGTTCAAGACGAGTTTGTCACTATTCTTTACGTCCTACATGTAACAACAAAAACTTACTAAAATCACACTGATCACTTTTTCAGACCAGAACGCCGAAGCTCCCACTAAAGACACCTCATTGTTGCTAGCTACCAGGCTACGTTAGCAAGCCGAAGCTCAAGTTAGTTGTTTCTGTGTTGTTAAACAAACAGCAAAGTTAGTTAAATGTGCCATTAAAAGAGCCATATCTTCCAACAGTTTATACTTAAAGTGTGACTGCTATCTCAACTTTGTGTTCATTTTGACTGCAGATACTCACATGGTCGGCAACCGGCTGCCAAATGACACGAAAAATGATGCAAGCTGGAGTCGGGCACAGTAAACGGAAGTGACGACGCAATTTGATTTGGCCCTTCAAAATAAAAATCGTATTTCATTTTGGGCGCTTTTGAAATCTGAGCGCGTCTGATTTTTATAAAGGCCTGCGTATTTCCGGTTGAAAATAATGTCGGCTGCAAGCTTCCGGTTTTCGCAAACCTTAGCTTGACTGCATGGATCATTCTGAATCAAAAATAAAAATGATAAATTCAACTAGTAAAACATAAGAAAACAGAGTGAATGCCATGCACGTGCACGCCATTACAATTAAAAATAAACTTGTTTTTAAGTTTTGATGTAAAGACTGTAATCTAAGATAAAAATCTGCTACTAAGACTTAAAGGAGTTGGTCCCTGAACGTTTTTGAGACTATCTTTGCATCTGTAAATATTTTTGATGAAACATGGTATTTTTTTAGGTGGTTTCACTTTTCTTTTGTTTGCATGGTGCATTTTACTGGGCTGTAGCTTTTGTTTTGAAACATTTGTTTGCTGCTGCCATTCGTGGCTATGCTACTCTTGAACATAATCTTTAGGATCTACCAGGCTGGTTAAAAACATTTATATCCAAGTCATGTATGTTAAATCACAATCACATAATTGCCTTTGACAGATAGTTTCACCTTAAAATATAAACTTGTTAGAAAAAGATGCTGTTACATACATACTGCAATAAATAAAATAGGTAAAAGTGGTCAGTTGACCCATTTAATGCATGAGTAACAAGACAATTTCTAATTGGCTTGAAGTTTATAATTTTCCTGTAAATACATACATTTCTCAGACACAATACAGTCAGGTGTTGGTTTGTTACCAAAACATTGTTTTTATTGTTTTGATAGTGAGACAATGTGAAACAATCAAAGAAAAACAGTTTATTTCTGCTGCACAGCTGCCTTCCTTGCTGCCTTCAAGCCCTTTTTGTTGTGTTTCTTGGCAAACCGCATATTCCTCAGAAATTTAGGGTCCACCTGCAACAAAGAAATGAGAAAATGAGTGAGATGAATGTTTTAGGGGCAAAACATTCAAACAAGTATAAATGCATAACAGTAAATAAAAATAAAGGAAAACAAAAGGTTGAGAGACACATTTAGTTTGGGTTTAGTGAACAAAATACAGCAATGTTGACATCTTTGTGAAAATATTGGTCCTACGCTGAAAACTAGACATAAATGCAGAGACAAAGTTTTAGCACTGATTACTGCTAAAATTATTTTTGCCCTTTACATAATAATCCAAACAGTATCATTTGAGGGATCTTAAATGAGTAGTACAAAGCTGCAGATTTTTTTAAACTGCTATTTGTCGTGTGAGAACAGTGCTCAACATTGCGATGTAGATATGACTTGCGATAAATACATAGACCTTTGTATGTGGTTATATGTCTATGCAAAATGCATAAATGCAAAAATTTGAGCAAACCATTTTTTGCTGTTTATGGAAATATGCCTACTGCACAGGCTGGTATTGCAATGATGAAAAAWTTTTTTAGATATTGGGCAGCTCTACTATTTATAAATCCTAACCTGCAATTACTAAAATCTGCATTTTAAAACAAGAATGTCAAGTAAAATTATTTGATCTAAGCTTTTACAAGTCTTCATTTCAATTTCCAGGTTTGGCAACATTTTTTTTGATCAAAATATAAACAAAAGAGTGCAATAAGTTTTTTAAATTTTGCTAAATACAGGTTCAACTGCATTTTCATGCACTATTAAAACTAAAACCATATTACCAGACCTTTGTTGATTAATCAAATGTCAATGAAGTGTTTGTTTCTGCTCTTTTGGGCTAAAGGTTTTAGACAACTTATGAAAAGTTTGTCCAACACAAAAGATGTCCAAGCTAAAGACGGAATTTAAAAATATATACTGGAAGCCTCTTTTGGACCCATAGATACTGTAATGCTAACAATTAGATTGAATATATAGCCGATGTGAGTAAAATAGTCTTAAGAAATTTTTCACAAACAGATTTCAACACCAACCTTTTTTTAATTGAAATTAGTGCAACACGTTATGAAGAGATTTAGAGAAACTATTCGTGTTTTCACAGCATTCTGCTCAAGGACAACTAATCTGTGAATACATGAAAGTAGGGCTGCCACAAATGATTATTTTAATAATCGATTAATCACCGATTATTTATTCGATTAGTCGACTAATCGGATCATACGTTAATTGAATATAAAACATACAGCTTATCACGTCAGAATGCAGCTGCTATTATATAACCATCATTAGATTTTAGCTATATGCNTTAGATTTTAGCTATATGCTAACTAAAAATAATTGCTGTGGAAGGCAAGTTCTGCTCTGCAGATATTGCACAGGTTTCTCTTTCATTTTCTTAAAATGATCCCACACTTTTAAGCTCCGTTGCTGGGTAGCCATGATACCAGAGCCTGTCTGTATAATGTCTTGTGACGTCCACGGCCTACCCCAGTTACCACTACTGTGCATGTGTGTCAAGGACAGAAAGGCAGATGTGGCAGTGGAGGGTGTCAAAGCAGTTTGGAGAGAAAAACAAAGTAAAGAAAAACAAAGTAACAGAAAGGCAGATGTGGCAGTGGAGGGTGTCAAAGCAGTTTGGAGAGAAAAACAAAGTAAAGAAAAACAAAGTAAAGAACAACAAAAAAAAAACAACAACGATTAATCGATTATTAAATTAGTCATCGATTATTTTATTAATCGATTAATCGTGGCAGTCCTACATGGAAGCAGGTGCTGTTTAGTTCATGAGGTAAAGTGTTGATGTGCTTGGTCCTCCTTCACCCTCGCCCTTCTCATGTATAAATCCTCACAACAATAACATCTGTCTTAAAAGAAGCTCAAGTGCAGAACATGCAAACTTGACTTTAGACTTCCCATTTCTTTAAGCCTCATTCATCTTTCACAAGACAATTAAATTAATCTCAGACCAGCAACAGAAAAATTATTTAAGATAATCAATAGTAAAAACTCACCAACAAAACAGATTTTATTAATGCTAAATAGGTGTAAACTTTTGCTGCTGTGACAGGCTGATTGCAAACTAAATCTTAACTTTAAACACTGTTAAAACATCTGGTAGTAATAAAATACACCAGCAGGCCACAGCTAAATCATGTCTACATAAAGCAACACATACGCAAAATTTCTGCTTCGAGATAAATCAGGTGAGTCTAATTAATATCACTGCATCAGTCTTGGCCATCACAAATTAAAAACAATCCAAGTGACAAAGCCCAGTTTTGAAGTACTGCTTATCTAGAAAGACAGAATATAGTACACAGAGCAAATACATCCTTCCCAAGCTGTAGTTCTTAAACAACCATTTTTCCTTTAAGTTTTATCAGTTTTTGAAGTGCAGAAACACACGATACATATTTAAAAGCATCACAGAATATCTCCTTCCAATTACTTATCTCTGAAAAGCATCAAATTCAATAGTGTGATGCAAAACAAGTCTGTTTTCTTTAACTCTACCTTGCCTCTCATTACGTAGCATTATTTCCTTTTCAGCAGTGATTGGCTGAGTTAAAGCATGGATTTCATACATTCTAGCTGCCTGGTGTCAAGCAGTTTGTTCTTGAAATATCAGTTTGAGTCCATGTTTCATGGTCTACAATACTTAGGGGTCTGATGGAAGGCTAATAGTACAAACCACTCTCAATACAATAGTAAGACACGTATTTCATACAAAGACACACAGCTGTAAATTAACATACCCCCTTCAATGACTCATAGCGATTGGACTTGGGCTTCTTGATGCCATTCCTGTGCCATTTACGAGCTGTTGAGACAAATCAGATTGGTTACAGCTTTTCCAGTGTTTACCCTTTTTACAAACCTGAAGAAATGTACCCATGAAATGGTAATTATGGAATACCTCTGCAGTCACTTACACTGGTTGTGAGTTGTGTGGTTCTTAGACTTTGCCATCTCGACGTTTGTTAATCTGTATGAAAGAAACAAACATTAAATGTAGCATCGTCGACTATTTCCATGCTAACTTTAGCTTTGCCTGAGGCTAAGCTCAATTAAAGCTGCCTGCTGTTATATCAGCTAAAAATGTCATTTACAAGCCAAATTGTCATTGACAGAAGATGATACACACACACGTCTGCTTAAATACTGGTTTTAAAGACTGTTTTCAGGTAGGTCGAAGCAGAAAAACTCCCGATCAGCTGCACAAATGTTAGCATCTTTCAGGTGTTTATTTCGACATTTTTCAGGCTCAAACTTAAACCATCTTGCGATAAATCTTTGATTAGTGAAGAGCTTCATCAAACTGAGAGCATCTTTATTACAAGATATGCTCATTATAAGCAGATGGATTAAGATTGTAAGGAGTCCGATGAGATGGGAAAAGTAAATACCTGCCACACGAACAGACGACAACCGGAAAAGGAAGTAGGTTTGAACCGGCTGAACAGAGGAGCTCTGCGCGAAGAAATAAAGCCTTTATTTTCTCACAGCGCCACCTGCTGGTGGTTTCTGCTACAGCAGGCAACGCTGAGACGCCAGGTGTCACTGTTAGCCACAAAATAACCACTTATTCTGCCTTTTTTTTTTAAAGTTAATTTTATTTCATTCCCTCTGCTATTATTTAACCTTTAGAGTGTGTTGGAAAAAAGTATTTTTTTAGGTTCTAAGACTAAAACAAAACAAAAACATTATTTCCTTTCTTCTCAATCATCTTGAACTAATTTTGTTGAAAATACATTTGAGCTCAGATAAACATTTGCATGTTTATTTTGGTTTATGCAAAACAAATGCAAAGTTTTACTTTTCTAATGACATTTACTCCAACTTTATTTTACTTTGCAAAAAAATGTATTGTTATCACATAACGTATAACATAACTATAACAGTAAATTAGGCTGTAGTTTACATGTGATTTCTTTGCTCTTTATTCTGTCGTAATTGTTGACTCATGTATCTAAATTTTATCATAAGCCAAATGTTACCTGAGCCTTTTTATTTAAAATTATATATTTCTTCAAGGATCAACTGAACCATAAAACATGTTAATCTATTTAAACGGTATAATTTATTAATTTAATACTATTGTTCATTCAAAAACTCCTGGTGTTTTCTGCTTGCTTTATACAAAAATTATTACATTTCTCTTTTGTCCTTTTCCTTTTGTTTGTCATGCACGGCTGAACGATGTGTTATGTTTTATTGTTACTCAATAAAGTCCTAAAATATATGTTCTGCTTTCTGTTTAAGTAGTGAGGCATGACTTTTGTTACTCAAGGATTGCAATGTTTCTTGTTTCCTAATTTAACAGTCAACATTTACTACTTTTTTGACTGATTTAGTTGCAGTATTGTTTTTCCCGCTCTCATTTCATTCATTAGTCTCCATGTTGCAATGAAGGCACCCTTGTGTACTAAAACTTTCAACTGTCTAATAGCATAATATTACTCATTAGGACACAATAAGCATCAGGATTTTGAAAATGTCATTTGTTTTTACTATTTCAAAGATACATCATTCACATTAGTTTTAAATGCATGAACTTTTGTACATGTTTTTTCTTCTTTTTTCTAAACCAGCACTTTTTTTTAGCATTTCACAAATTAAGAACATGACACATACAGTGTGTAATTCATGATAAAGTTTCACAAGCAGACTTTGATCTGATGGAAGGTTTCAAATGTGACCAGAATTGAGAATCACACTTACACC